ACCTAAACATGAATAGTAAGCTTTATGAAAAACCACAGTGCCCTGTCTATATCAGTGCTCCCACTGTTACTAACACCATGAAATCACTGCCATAGTTAGTTACAGGAGACAAAATATCTTCCAGTATAGCCTGAGATGACAAGTATACTAGTCAGATCAAAAAGTAGCACTAGTGTACCATGTACAAAATAGCTTTCAGTAGTACCAAAACTAGTATATTCAGTGGAATGTATCAGAAAACCTGCTTACAAAGTCAGTATGCACAAATAGAGTAAATTAAGAACAGAAGTTGTTAGCATGTATCGGGTGGACAACTTTACTTTTTGGTTATTTGAAACTGGGTCTAATGTTCACTTTTGCAGGGTCAAATTTTATGTGAGACTACAAGATCAAATGGCAAAGTACTGGATATTCCTGGTTTGTTTTTCTAACTCTTGCTACTTTCCTATCTTGTATGTGAGCTTATCCCTAAACTTTCATGCTCTTATGTTCTTTTGTCTTTTAACTAAGCTTGTACTTGTACAGAAGTTACAAACACGAGTTCGAGAAGCAAACCAATAGAAAAAGCACAATAAAGAATGATTTCCAACATCAGAGATTAAGAAATACTGTATTTTAAGTGACCCCTTTAAAAGTATATAAATTCTGACATGACTGTGTGTTTTATGTCTGCTAACCCTGTAATTTTATTTTAAGGCAGATGACTCATCACCCTATATCATCTAAAGCAATGACAAATATCTGTCAAAGGCTGTTTTGGTAGTGCTTGCCACCTAGTGGATTACTGCTTGTATACACGAGAAGGATCATTGCTACAAAAATATTTGAAAATCTGTTTATTAATCACACTAATAATACCCTGCAGACTTTGAGTACCAATAGATGGAAATTTTTTGTTGGTATTAAATGCTAGTGAAAATTGTAAACATTTTCACAACTTTTATCCATTTTCTGATAGCTTTATTTATAGCTATTGCTTGACTTGGTGATAGGCTGAAGATGGAATTTAAGAGCCAATGAGTAGTCAGTATACATGGCCATGGACTCAACTGTAAACTCAAGCCCCAAACTAGCATATGTTGGTTGGTAGTCTGTGATGACTATATTTGTAAAAATGAGTGAGGTCTCTGAAATATATACTAGTTGCTTCTATTTCTTCTATTAGAATTAGCTGTGGTCTTGTCAGTTTTGTTATAACAAAAGTTCTGATATGTGTACAGACTTTCTCTACCTCCTCTCTTCTGTAAGTCACATTCTCTTGGAGTGGTTGTCATCCATTTTTTTGACCTGGACTTCAGTCTCTTCCTGTGTAGTGATTTACACTTTGTTACTGCCCACTAGTCTTACAGAGATCAAAAGTGTTGCTCATACCATAACACAAGGCAAGAATCTGTACATAAGTTACAAGGGTTCCATCAACTATTTACAAAAAATACTTCTCCATACAAATGCAGCCCTCCTGCCAAAATGTCGACTCCCCTCTTTCAAGTGTGAATACAACTGAGCTTTTACTGAATTTTGTAATAATCAACATATTGAAAAAAATTGGACTATTTTGCCAGAACCTTCCCCAGAAAATCCAGCCTACAGGAGAGTTAAGAAAAGTTATCAGTGACAGAGAACTGTCACATTTGAATACAGCAAGTTTTCTGCTATACTGAGGGTAGTAACACTATTTTTTTACTCTTCCATGACGATGTTGATGATGTCAGAAAGTTTTAGCCAGCTGTATGATATTCAGGAATAATCAGTTTATGCTTTACACTTTTAGAAGAATTTCCAATTAATCTTACTAAGCTCATAACACACCTCAATTCTTACTTGTTACAGATATTAATATAGATGGTTTTGCCATTTACAGCATTTTATGGTCAATAACCTACTCATGAGTAACTTGATGTGAAGATGTTAAATTGGGGTCAGAAGATTCCATGGGCTCAAAACCTTTGCTCTGCATTCAGTTTGGTTGTTATTTATCTGAGGGATCTTACAGCACATTATGTGACTGTCATACATTGCTATGGCAATCTCATGACTGAGGATCGTTTTGGGTTTTTTTTCCCTTCTAACAACTCCTATAGGGAAATTCTATTGTGATCAGAAGGTGCAATACAGTTTCTTTCTTTCACTTTCCATTGTATCATCCTCCTAACACTACAGAGTATATAAATTTCATTAGGAAGATCATTGGGAATACTTGGAATTAAGAGGTATCTAAGAAATTTTGTGCAACTACTTCCTGTTTTCAAAAAAGTAATCAGAAAAATAATTAGGTCTTTTGCCAAATTCAGAAAGTTGTATTTTAGTACTGTAATAAAAATCTTTACTCAGTGGTATCATAAGCTTGAAAAATAATTTTTATTAACATACAAAAAAGAATAAGGAAAATAGACATTTTAATTAAACATTTGCTTTCATCTACAAATAAGTACTGCAAGTAACAAAACAATAAAATCATTCTTAAGTTCTTGTGAACAGTTAGAAACAGAGGAAGGAATTTTCTGAAACAGAAGCAAAAGAGTCTTGTGAAATAGAATATTTGGCAATATTTTTTAGTCTCTGAACAAAGAGTCTCTCTTTTCTCTGGAAAAGGGGAAACATCTCCCCCATTTTTAAAAAGGGAAAAAAGGAAGATTTGGGCAACTACAGGCCAGTCAGTCTTACCTCTGTGCCTGGCAAGATCATGGAGCAGATCCTCATGAAGGCTCTGCTAGGGCACATGGATAATGTGGATGTGATTGGTGGCAACCAACATGGCTTCAGCAAGGGAAAATCCTTCCTGACAAGTCTGGTGGCCTTTTATGATGGAGCGACATCATCAATAGATAAGGGAAGAGCAACTGATGTAATTTGCATGGACTTGTGCAAGGCCTTTGACACTGTCCTGCATGACATCCTGGTCTCCAAGTTGGAAAGACATGAATATGATGGATGGACTACTCAGTGGATAAGGAATTGGTTGGAAGGCTGCACTCAAAGTGTTGTGGTCAATGGTTCAATCTCCAAGTGGAGACTGGTGACAAGTGGTGTCCCTCAGGGACTGGTACTGGGACTGGTACTGTTTAATATCTTTGTTGGTGATATGGATAGTGGGATGGAGTGCCCTCAGTGTCTTCCAATGACACCAAGCTGTGTGGTGTGGTTGACATGCTGGAGGGAAGGGATGCCATCCAGAGGGACCTGGACAGGCTGGAGAGGTGGGCCTAGGCCAACCTCATGAAGTTTAATAAGGCCAGGTGTAAGGTCCTGCACCTGGGCCAAGGCAATCCCAAGCACAGATATAGGCTGAGTAATGAGTGGATTGAGAACAGCCCTGGGGAGAAGGACTTGGGTGTGTTGGTGGATGATAAGATCAACATGAACCAACAGTGTGCATTTGTAGCCCCAAAAGCCAACCAGATTCTGGGCTGCGTCAAAAAGAAGTGTGGTCAGTAGGTCGAGGAAGGTGATTCTGTCTCTCTACTCTGCCCTCGTGAGACCCCACCTGGAATACTGTGTCCAGCTCTGGAGCCCCCAACACAAGACGGATATAAAACTGTTAGAATGAGTCCAGAGGATGGCTACCAAGATGATCAGAGGGCTGGAACACCTCTTCTATTAGGACAGGCTGAGAGAGTTGGGCTTGTTCAGATTGGAAAAGAGAAGGCTCCGGGGAGACCTTACAGTGGCCTTCCAGTACCTTAAGGGCACCTACAAGAAGACTGGGGAGGGACTTTTTACAAGGGATTGTAATGATAGGATGAGAGGTAATGGGTGGAAGCTGAGGGAGGGGAGGTTTAGATTAAATATAAGGATGAAGTTTTTTACTGTGGGGGTGGTGAGGCACTGAAACAGGTTGCCCAAGGAGGCTGTGGCAGTGTTCAAGGGCAGGCTGGATGGAGCTGTGAGCAACCTGATCTAGTGGGAGGTGTCTCTGCCATAGCAGGGGATTTGGAACTAGACGATCTTTGAGGTCCCTTCCAACCCAAACCATTCTATGATTCTAAAATATCCATGTAAACAATATTTACAATATCATATGCAATCTTGGTTACATGTAGTAAGAAGCGTACATGCAACTACTGTACATTCAATTTTAAAATCTAATTTGCACTATCATTTCTCAGTATCATTAATGTTGGAAAAAACACTTCTGCTTCTGTGTGCAGTACTGCATGACAGCATGTAAATACATTAAAAAAATATTTTTTTCCCAGACATCTTAAAAAAGCACTTTTAGTATTAGGTTTTGTAGCTTCCTATGTTTTTATAGGTATCCAAACTTGGAATGTAAGCTCTACAATCATGTCCCTGTAAAAACAGCAATGTAGAAAATTTCCAAACATGCAGAAAAATCCTGATAAAAAAGCTAGAGTTCTACCTTCCCTTTATGTCTTTGAAAATACACCTTTTTATTTCCTGTGTTACTACTATTACATATAAATACAGGTAAGCAAAGTTGCATGAAAGTTAATGGAAGGTCACTTTGAGAAGCAGCTTTAGGAATATGGGTTTTTTTCCAGAGAAAATTACTCTCCAAAGTCCTATGTATTTTTATTTAGCACTTGAACTAACCTTTATGTTGCAAGGATACTTAAAGACTTTTTTAATCACTTTAGAACAGAAGCCAAAAGTTTATAGTATGTTCAGTCTGTTTTAAATTCCACACACCAAGGTTGAGCAAGGTTTAGGAGCTCATGGCTACTGCATCTCATGGGGACCTTCCAAAGACCAAAGCAGCCAGAATCCCACAGTTCATACACTGGGATATATCACTGATTATGATAATTTCCCAACACGGAATCTTCCAGCTCTTACTGAGTTTCTACTATCACGTTTAACCTCAAAGTTGAAAAATAAAAATACAGTCTGGCAGACTACCCTCAAAAGGTTGCTAATCCTTGATTTTCAATTAGCTTGATATCATCAGAATACAGAAGTATAAAGAAATGCCACCATTCTTTTTCAGATATCATTACCCTTGAACAGTACATGGAATAAAATGGAAAACAGAAAGCATACTGGTTACTGTAGCTTAACTTTAACATACATAGCATACAGAACCATTCACCTAAAAGCTGTTGATTTCAATACCTCCAAGTCAGTATTGTAACAAAAGAAATCACAGATTTTCTGAGGGTTTTTTCCCAATATACTGTACAGTTCAGAGTTTCTTCCAGAACAATCCTTAGACAAATGACTACTTTCCACATGAACACATGCTTTTATTAGATGACTTAGTACTATGCAAGGATTGAATGAGCTTATTTTCACAGGTGGATGAGACACAGTAACAGGACAATAAACACCAACTTAAAATGCTGTTGCCTGTGTGAGTGCGGTATAGAAAGCTAGCATATTAAATTACTAGAACAGTTGGGTTCATTTATTCACTTCACCTGTTATACTTCAAAAGTGTTAATAAAGCATCTCTCACAAAAACTAAACATGCATCCAGCATCTGTATGATGTTTACTGATTTCTGTATGATGTTTACTGAAAAAATCAGACTTGTTGAGCAGAACATAATGAGATCAGAAGACAGCACAGTTTAGTGTTCTCCAGAAGCTACTGCAAATCCCTCTTCCTATTTGATGTTCCACATATAAATTTGTAATAGGATGCATAACATAATCATGTCATGTCAGTGGAGCACTAATGTCATGTAAAACAAGTGCTCTCGTTTTTCTATCAGTACTATTTGAATTTTACACTGAAGCTGCGCAGAACAATTTTACGGAAGACAGGTAACTGTGTAGAACTTGAAAAACAGGGCAAAAGCTGTCCAATCCACTGTACGTAGTAGGACTGGAGGAGTGCTCATGCAATAATGCTCAAGTATTCCTTCTGTCATACCTGAATTCTACACCGAGGCATTTAAAAGCAGGTATTTTCTCAAATGAAATAAACCAATGTTAGGTGGGTCCCAGTCATCCACAAACATATGTAAGTGAAAACATAGAACTCTGGGATGTAGTCCTTAAGTACAAATGGTACAGCCGAAATGTTGGGGTTTTTTTTCAGGTAATTTACTATTCTAGCTTTCTATACTGCTTTCACCAAATAATTAAATGTTATTACAAATCAAGTAACAGGAACTGAGGTGCTTCTTGTCAGAGAAGATCAAAATAACTTATGACCAAAATTGTTTGTCTTGATGCAACATTGAACTACAAAAATGGCATATTTACTGAAGTTTAATGTGTTTAAACATTTTAAAAAGCTCAAGTAGATAACAATTTATGTAGTCTTAAAAAAATAGGAAATTATATGCTGTCTGAAATTGTCTATATTGCAAGAGGAACTGTGGTAAATTTGGACTTGTAGTGGGCTCTGCAGGTTTTACAAGACATTATGATAGAAAGGCTCATTTTGAACATGTGCAATCAAAATAATCTAATATAATTATTCTTCTATAGTAGTAAAAAATAAGTATTGTTTATATCTGTGAAAATAATGAATAATACATTAATAGTCCCATTACTAGAAAGAGCTATAGAAGTGCCAGTAGAGACTCAAACTGCATTATTTAATAATTTCAAATTTAAAAGTCACAGGGTTTATATAGTTTGCTTATAGACTGAAGTATATCTTCATGCCTGTGACAATAATGGTTTTGACACCAGTGTGAAGATACCAAAATTGGCTTTCAGTTAACGAGTAGTGTTTTATTCAAACCAGGAAAGCTCAGCTGTTTCTTGGAGGAAGCATTTCTCAATTCAGGCTCCTTTTTTCTGTGAGACTGCTAGCAGTCTTCTCTAGTTTCCAACCTCCTAATTTCTAGTCCAGTGCCATAAATCAATAGAACTGTGCAATCAAATAAAGATGGTAAAATGTTGCCTTTTAGGATAAAAGGAAGACTTAGTTTAAGTGATACATATTTTTCTAAGTGTGTATCTATAGCTTTCCAGATAAGACAAATTCTGCATTTAGATGTTTTACAAATTCCTTAGATTTCACTAATGATTGCACATAACCCCAAATCAAATGTTGTCTGTATACAATATATTTCGTTAAAAAGCCAATAGGCATGTTCTGATTAAAAAAACCCCGAACAACAACATAGAAGTTTCTGAAAGAAACATAACATTTAATGATTTCAGAAAAAATTTCATTTCTTTTTTTGAATTCAGAATTTTAGACTAAACATTTTTATGGTGCAACTCTGCAAATTGCTGAATGACCTCAAATCCCATAGATCTTTGCAGCTGGTAAGAGGTTTAATCAGTTTAAGAAATCAGGGCTTTAAAAAAGTGAACATTACTAGAATAATTATGTGTGACCAACTAAATTCTGCTGTCTGGTATACTTTGGGACTGATTCATAATCTGCAAAATCACTCAGAGCAAAATTTAGTCTTAATCTTGATAACTTTTCACAACTGTAAGAGATATAAGCATTAAATTAAGAAGTGATATGGAAAACATTTTCCAATTATGTGATTTTCCCATTATGTGGTGTCATTCATGCTCTCATTTTTTAATTGAGAAGTGAGCATGGACCAATGTAATATATTTGGGACTTACTGGAATTTAAATTAATATGCAGAAAACTGAGTATCTTTGAGCAAGCCATACTGAAAATAAAACCCCAACCTATTTGTATATCAATATAACTAAATCGGAAGGAACCAGGGGGCTTGGCAGTATAATAGTATTGTTATTCTGTGTATTTTCTTTACATAGTTGATCGTTGGCCTGCTTCATCAAGCTTGAGGTTTTGTTTTCTGGCTGCTTCACTATTGATCCTCTTATCAGATTTATCTGCATTGGTACCGTCTGTCATTGTGGATTCTGCTTCTGTGCCTTCAGGAGTCTCCCCAGTGGGCCGCAGAACTTTAACATTCTCTTCTGGGGGACGCTTCCAGTGGGGCCTGCTTGCCATCCACAAAATAAGTGCACCAAATATGACAAGCAAAAGACCAAGACAGTTGACAAAAGTTGCCTCTGGTGGGGATGCACTATATGCAGGACTTTTCCTTGGAAAGGAAAAAAAAGGTCGGTTGTTTCAAAGACAATCCTGATCTAAAAGCAGCAGTCTCCTGCTAGGTAGGAGGTCTTTTTAAACCAAAGCAAACCAATGTCCCAATACTAGATGGTTATTATTCTGTGCAAATGGAACTACAGTTTGCAATGAATAATCATAATAAGCAAGTGAAAATACTTACAGTGAAAAGATAAGCTTTTCTGTGATCCCCATCAGAGCTGTTGCAATCACTGTTGCAAAGATGGTAAGACCGGAATAAACATGTATTGGCAGAAGAGCTGCTCGGAGAGGAACTGGAGCAAAAGGGAGCAGAAAGACAGCGAAACCCAAGAAAAGCTAAACACAAAACAGATTCATAGTTAAAGCTATATGGCAAACAAGCTGCACTTCTCAAGCAGAATAAAAATAATCATAAAAATTCCATTTTGAGATGTCTTCAGGTACAAATTTGAAAAGAATTGACATTTTTATTTCTGAATGTGTTTCCCTTCAAAACCAAAGCAATAATTCTGGATTAGCACCTGGGAAGCAGACATGATATATTTTATAAATAATCCCACCTAGTATCAGTGCCCAAACTTATTGGTAATGCTACAACTGCAATGAAACTAAGTCCTGGAAACACAAATTTTCAGTGTCACTAATTTAGTAATATATTAAAGGTGTGAGTAGCTACATTTTTACAGTCTCTTCAAGTCCTATTCTCTTCTGCTGTGACAGATTTACACATAAGTGAAGATCAGAAGGCAGTCTAACCTTCTGACTTGAGTGGACTAAATAATTTTACCTTGTTAAGAGCTTTGGTTAAATTAAAGTACATGTCTTTAGAAGGGCAATGGTCTGTATCTCAATATACCAGTCAGCTGGCACTTACAGTCTGAAGATGTGTGTGGGTGGCATGAAGTTACCTGGGGGACATGAGCCCTCCTATTAGCACTCATTTTGTGATGGAAGATTACCCATCATGTCACTGGCTTCAGTCACAGGCTTGCCTGGTCATATTGAGGTTGCATCCCTTATTTAGCTTGTTCTACCATTACTCACCCCTGCTGCTAAATTAGAAATAGTGCATGAATTTGTATTTCGTCTTCCTTTAACTTCCAGTCTTAGTCCTTGTTTTGTCTTTCCATGCTGGATTAAAGAGCCTGGTATTTTCTCCCTGGGAAGCTTTTTAATACACCATAATCAAGTCATCTCTTAATCTTCTTTAGATCTGCTAAACAGTTGGAGCTTTTTAAGTCTTTCACTGGAAGATAGTTTTTCCAGCTCTCAAATCACTTTTCCATATTTTTTTAACTAAAAAAAAACCCATAGTATTTCATATTAGCTTTGCCAATGCCATATATGAAGGTTAAGATAATCTCTTATTAGAGAATTTACGTTCCTGTTGTCACAGCATCATGAGAACTCATTTTGAGCTTCATGTCATCTTTGAGTACGAGTACTTCTTTCAGAGACATTGCTTTCCAAGAGACAGTCTCCATTTTACATTTCTGCCCTATTCTTAAATTTATGCCCTTGTGCTATACTGTGTTAACATGCATTTGGCTTAAATACAATATATTTACACTACTGTTTCTGTAGATGTAGTATTATACAAGCATCTCCTCTCAATAATTTTTCAATTCTGAGATTGACATACCATTTCTGCTGCCAAGTGTCTGCTCTATTAACAGAGATACTATGACTATTTTTTAACAATAGTGCTCAATCACTTAACAAACATCAGTCTCTGATTGGTGAATTAGATCCCAGTTTGGAGGAAGTAACACCATAGTTCCATTGATCAGACAGGCAAGGCATTAAATGCCATTGATCATGTTTATGATAGCAAAATTAAAAGTAGAATTCACAATTCTTATCTTAACCATTAGAAAAAATGCTGATACTCGGTATAGTGGCAGCACAGATTTCCCTCAAATAACTGCGTTATTAAGACAAGGAAAATCTTAACATTGTTCCTTCCTATTCATTAGCTGTGGTTCAGCTATAAAGAAAATATTCAACAATGCTGCAATATGCTTTCTTTTTTTCTAAGTGTTAAAAACACTATTTCAGTACTATTTCCTGTACCTCCTAGCCTGAGCAGGGAAGGACAAAAGTCCAGAACTGAAATCCCTCAGCTGGGGATTTTTTTTTGCTTGATCACCAGATAATTAAATCCTATTTTTTCTTGTAAGTGTTTTGCGAAAAAAAGAAAAAAAATCACAATTTGAAAGAATAAAATAACACAATATAGGAAATTCAGAATTTATATGCAGAATCATCACATCTGTTATGTATATGCTAAATGTCAGGGCATGCTTACTCTTCTATGCCAAATGCAAAACATACTACATTAGTTTAGATTATGATAACTCTAATTCACCTCCAATAGGAGCAGTTAAAAGCAGGCACATAAACATTTATGAAAGTTTTGCTGATTCAGGAAAGCTGGTTAGCCAGTAGTAGCTCATTCATATGACAGAGCCTTTAGATCTACACTGCTCCCTGCTGCTCTTCTGCTGATAAACAAGTCTTGAGGCAAAGAAGTGACTACTTAAAATTTTGATAGCTGGAAAAAAAGGGAGATGATTACTTCATCTGAGACTTCCATAATAAAAGCTCTAACTGTATTTAAATATGCTGCCAACAAACCAAATCACTTACTTTAATTTCAGCAGCTTATAGAGCTTGGAAACACACTACTGTGTAACTTAAGTAGTAAATAAACTGCCATTATCCCAGCAAATAAGCAAAATATGCTTTAAAATACATTTTTCTTTGAAGTCAAGGATGCAGTATTTGCACATTTACATGCTAATTTCCCAAATCACAGAATGTAAATTTTACACTGAGTAATTTACTAATTACTATTACATTTTACTAATAAGAGTTTATTAGTAAGAACCTATTGTGCCTGAATTAATCAACACATTCTTCAAATTTACAATCTGTTTATAAATAAAGTTAGATTCTGACCTGGAGAGAATAAAATATAACAGCAGTCAGCCCAATCCAGCTGTGCAGACTGTACATGTTAGGAATGTTCCTGGCATTGTGGTATTCAAACACGGCTACCATAGAAACAATTGCAAGAATCATAGCTATGGTATTTAATCCAGCATGTATGAACTTCATTAGGAGTTTGCTGCACTTCCAGGTCCAGGGCAACCTGTAGACAATAATAGCTGAAGAAAGAACAGAAACAAGATTTTATGCCTTACAAGATAACTTCTCTCTGATTTTAATAATCACATATCATTCACATAAATTCATTGTAAATCCGGCCTTTAATCTTCTAAAAAAGTCTAATAAAAGGCTTTTTCTCCTACACATAGCATGGCATATTCCAGATACACAATTGAGGCTTAAATACAACTTTTAGGGATAAAAAAAAAAAAAAAAAAAAAAAATCAAAAAAACAACACTAAACAACTTGGTGTAATTTTTTCCTCATTCCTTAAATTGATCTAACAGAGATTCTGTACAGGATTTTGATTTTTCTCCTAGTAGTCAGATTGGAAGAATAGGGCCCAATTTTTATATCCAGAAGACCACCTACTGAGAAAGTGTGTAAGATTATTTTTTAATATTTATTCTCTTTGTCAACTTTGGATAATGCTATTCTCTAATTACACAGATATTTATATGACTATCTATTGTGTTGATATTAATAGGATTATTTTAAACGGGAGAATACTACTCATCGTAAGGGAATCATAATCTGACTCTTAAGAGGAAAAGGGTTTGTCAACTACAACTCTTCCAGCACTGTTAGATGAATGTAAGGGGGGTTTGTCTATATTTGCATTAATAACTCTAGCAGACAGTGTTTTGTCCATTCTGAACAAACCAAAAATCACCAAAAGTGATCTAACTCCAGATGGTCCATAAGCAGCCTAGAGCTGTTTCTTGCCAAGCTCTTTCCTCAAAGTCGTCACTGCTCCTTCCCTGCCACAACTGTCCCCTGGCTGTCGTATGACCCAGGTGCTTTCAACAGGGGACATACAGAGACCAGATTAGATCACTGAAGCCCCAGGTACACCTGATTACAAACTAGGTAGTAATTCTGGATGTGTGACAGCACATAAGTATATTCAGATAACAGGGGACAAATGTTTATAAGAACACCTGAACACCTGACCAATAAAGACTAATGCTCACATCCATGTTTTGCCTGAGCAGAAAGACTGAGCTTCATTCATCTGATTCATCACATCCTCATGTAAGGTTTCTGCTTACGAAATTACATTAAAATCTTTATATATAATTAGGTATAATAAAACTAAAGAATAAGAATATAAACAGTTTTTTTAAAAAAGTTCCTGTTCTGAACATTAAGAAATAGATATGCACCAGAAAAAAAAGTATTACCTGATAAATGGAAAGATTAAGAATTTACTGAAGTGATTCTCATGAGCCTTACTCATTACTTCCCCATAACCCTAGCTTTTTACACAAAAAGCATAGGTTATGGAAAATAAATAGGATATTCATTCTGTATGTTGTGATGAATAATAATAAATGACAAAATAATTTCAAGGTTCTGTTTACATATTTTTGTTTACTTGGATTCATGCCATGAAACAGTACTGCATTAAGTAATTCACAAAGAAAACATTGTTCACAAGTGAAATTTCCAGACTACCATCAAATGTTACATCAATTTATGCTTTTACATACTGTGTGAAAATATAATTCAGGAATGAAAGTGTCCCTTAGAATATTTAAATATATACAGCACTTAGGTAGCTCTCAGCTCACTGCTTTTAAAAAGTAACAATAGTAAATCCTACAAAATGAGGAAGATAGAATCCTTGTTTTTAAGGCAGTAATCAATCTACATGACAGAGGTATGATTTGGCATACCAAGCTTGTGATCATCTCCAACAGTTCCCCAAAAATTATATGATAGTCTTATATCTTGTTAATATTGAAATAATTGTCTGCATCAGACTATTATTAATTTAATACTAATGATTATGATTTCTAATTTTGTAATGCAGATATGCCAAAAGGCCCCAAACAAGCTTCAACATCCTATGAGGATATTTCCAGTAAATCCTCCTTGTTCCATCTTACAATATGGCCCATAATTATTGTCAGTAATTTATTCCAAGTGCAGCAGAGTACTGAGCTCTGTATGTCTTGAAGTAAACTTGATGGCCATAGGTCCTGATCTCAGTTTTCAGTCTTTGTATGCAGGGGATGAAGTCCAGGCTAAAATTTTTGTATAACATCTTGCTTTGGTGCATATGTCATTATTTAGTTGATTTAACTTCCAAAATCACTATCAAACTCCCTAGTCAATCGTCCACATGGTCTCAGATCTCTGTCTGGGCCATGAATTTTCTGGGCCAATTCCCATAAACAGTATGATAGAAAAGCACGGAATACAGACTAATGGCTTGGACACTTGTTAACAACACCATGTATTAGCATGTTACATGCCACAGCCCAGGACATACGCATGATAGTACAATCTGGTTTAATCCTCTTTCTGTGAGGGCTATGTCTGAAGTTACACATGGCAACTTGAGCGGATCTGACTGTTCGTCACGGTAAAAAGACACAGTCCCATTTCCCCACCACCAGTCTTGTTCCACTTCTGTGTGCTTCCCCCTGCCTTTGTTGTAACTAGTGCTTTTCTGACCAGCAGGAGGAAGCAAGACAATCTGGGGAACAAAGGGGAGAGGAGGAAGATTCTGCTTTCAGTGGTACAAACTCCTAAAAACTGACTCAGACATATGTAACTTCATCTCTGAATTAAAATAGCCGGGGTTAAAAGCACATACTACAGCATTTTTAGTGGTGAGATGCTAAAGGAACTGCTCTATGAAGAACTTTCTCTAAGTATAGCAACTCTACTGCTGTTAAGAGATTTGACAATCTCGGCATCCTTAGGCACAGCTTCCTCAATCAGATCTCGCTCCTATTTTAAAGCACGTCATGTAAGTCAGAGTGATCTTGCAATATCTTGTATGTGGCATGGGACACCTGTTCTTTGCCAAATGTACAAAGGAAATTTCGAGAGTTAGCTCTCTCGTATTTCTGGCTGGCACATGCTGCACGTGCTGCCATGGATGCTTGTGAGATGCCTTCCACCTTAGAAGGCACAAAGCATGGTTCTGTGCGTGCACTGGGGGGGCACTGCACAGCACCTCACAGCTGCCAGAAAGCAATGTTCCTCTTCACTCCTATTTCCTCTCCTGCTCTTTTTTGACTAATCCTGTTGCTTACCTTCAGCAGGATCTGAATGCCCACTAGATTCTCTGGGAACCACTTTAACACAGAATGGACAGGTGCCCATCTATGACTTCAAAGGGACACAAACTAAACTCATCAAGAGAGCTGCCTCTTCACAAGCTGCCTGGGATGAGACCCTTACAGCTCAGCAGTCACTTGCCCTTCCAATTCTTGAGAATTCTGCAGCCTGTTGGATGTTAGAAACTCCAGGAATTAGCTACCTTTCCTTTGAAAAGATGCTTTGTTATTTGAGGCAAAGGGAACCATGTTTGTCAGATAACTCAGAACAAGCATTATCTTTAGATGTGATTTCAAGATGAAAGACTATGCTTACTTTAAAATAGATTTGCACTCCTCCTTGCTCTTGCACATTGTCCTCCATCTCCCTTCTCCCATTTATGACACTTCTGAGACCCTTTGTGCAGAAAATTCAAGTCTCCGGCAAAAACTGTACGTGGGTGGCTGTGGTGGTGTGTGTGTTAGTTTTTGGCTAGTTAGGTTAGTTCAGTTTATGGATCTGACAGAGCTCGCACAAATAAACCAGTAGGAAGATGAAGTCTGAGTCAAGGAGAAAGCTGAAAGGGAGAAGTGGAGGAAAAAAGTAGGAATATTTCAGTATTTCAGCCACAGTGAGCTGTTAAGGTTGTCTCACCCACCCAGGTAATTCATCCATACAGATGAAATTTAATTAACTCTGTAACACCACATGGTCATGTGGCAGACCAGAATTTTTCCTTCTCTTTTCTCTGTAATTGTATTCCTTTATTAGTATACTGCTAACGTTAGGCTACATCCTCACGTTTTAAGCCTGTTTAAAATACAAGTTATATGATATCTGTAAATGATACATGATGAGAAATATTAACTGTGTAATCTTCCAAGATTTGTAGAGTCAACCCACAACTTTATTGCATAGAGTTTACATGTGACTTATAAGCAGTAGAAGACTGATCTGAGGATGGGAGACAGACTACCCTACTTTCCTTGTTCTGACTCACTCTTTATCCAATCTTCCACAAATCCAAAACCCACCATGCTGCCCCTCAGTCTGCAATAGAGAATGTTACATCTCTGTAGAAAAAACCCATTCTTTTATTAGGCGAGTAATGGAAATCCTCAAAAATAATTTATTTCACATTATATTTTGATGGGTTTCTTAATTAGTCCTTTAGGAGAGAATCAAGCATTATTATTTGCAGGCCAAACATGAACTAACATGCAAATACTCATTTGGAGCATGCCTCGTGTCTACAGTCATTGTTCAACCTTTCCATATGTAAAATAAGACAGAATTCCCTATTTACTTATTTAACCCATTCTATCACACTAATATTTCTTCAAGCCCTTCTTAAAACTCACTTTTTCATTTTTTTCCCTATCTTATTATTTTAAAATTGTTGCTGTACTAATATGCACACAGACTTTTATTGCCTGTGTTTTTCCCACTTTAGGTCTAGAAAATCATCTGGACAATTACCGCACACTGACAGTGTTTTGTCAGGTATCATTTATCTATAGGCACTGATCCACAAATAGTAAGTATTAATATTAATGTGCCTACAGCTTTTTCATTTGATTGATAAGATATATACAATGCTTTATAAGGGCACATCTACGTCCCAATATGCACATAATTATAGTCATTCCTTTTACCTCCTATAGACCAACAATACAACATTTCTATCCTTTGTATAGACTTTAATGAACTCAAGAAACAGCTGATTTGGTTATTATTTCAAATTCTCTACACAAATTTAACCAAGATTATTTATTAGCTATTCCTTTTTACTTTTTAACTATTTAAAGACTTCTTTTTCCTGTATGTATGCAAAGAGGAATTCTATTCCTGTCTCATCTAAATTACTTTGAATTCAATGGCAGACTTTTGTCAACTGTATTTGATTCAGATTCACAGTGGTATCTTACCTGTTGATATTTCATCTAATTTACTACAATACTCCTTCAGTGTCCAACTTTGCTCTTCTTGTTACACAATAGAATTTCCTCCCC